ACATTTTGTGGATCATGTTTTTAGTTTCCTCTATAATATTTAAAGTATTTTAATGTATCAGTGAGTTGTTTATTCCTTGAACAAGATGTATGACACCCGGAATGTCAAAGAAGAGAGGTTTATTTTGGCTCATGGTTTCAGAGGGTTCAGACCATGGCCAGCTGTTTCCATGGTTCCAACAGCATAACACAAGGGCAGGTAAAGGAAAGCTGCTCAACAGCCATGAAGCAGAGAGAGAGAGAGAGAGAGAGAGAGAGAGAGAGAGAGAGAGAGAGAGATACAAAGCTGGGGATAAGAAAACATCCTTCTAACATAGTCCATGTTATGATTTCCCTTTTAATTTTGGGCATCAGCTATTTTGTCTCAGCAATGAGAAATAAGTAACTAACGCAGAAATTTGGTACCAGAAAGAGGAGTCATCGCTGCGACATTACCTGGCCATGTGGCTCAAGCACCTTTAGAACTGGCTTGTGGGAAGGGGAAGACTTAGGAAAGATGGAGATGTTGGCTACAGAAGTAGGGCTGGAACACCTTGGCTGTTCTGTCTGGGAGATTCTGGCCTGAGCTCAGAGGACCAGAAGGCTGGTAAAGACCAGGATCATGAGGTTTCTGCTAGGAAAAAGGACTGAACTGGCTGTGTGGACTCCAGACAATGTGTGGCTTGGCAGGAACTTTGTATGCATTTTGTTTGTGTCCAGAGACTTTGCCTGAGACTGTGACTGGGGGTGGTAGACTAATCTGGCAAAAGAAATTTCAAGACAGTATAATGTTGAGGCCATGGCATATCTGCTGTTGGGGGCTTTTAGACAGATCTATGTTGAAAATCAAGAAAAAAGGCCCCGAAGAATGATTTAAAATGTTTTGAGTTTGGCCAGAAAGGAAGCTCCGGTAAAGCTGTGGACTACAATGATAGAGCAAAGGAGATATCTTGATTGCTGAGAAGGAGCAGAGGAACAGAAAAGATGGCCTGAGGGCATCACAAGAAGGACTCCATTCTTTGCAGCCTCAGAATTGAGAAATATTTTTCACAAGGCTTCAAAATAAGAGGCTTAATGAACATTGTATTGTTTCAGTTATATGTGAATGAAGCAGAAAACTTGTGATTATCTTCAGTATCTTCTGTCATGTCCAATTTCTTAGACAAATGAAAAAAACAATTATTCCTATTTTAGAATTATAGACATTGAGCAACTGAGACCAAGTGGGCATGGAAGCCTCATAAATCATATTATGTGTAAATGAATCCAGCTCGCTCATCTCTTGTGAGCTTTCTGAGATAATGCCAATAGACAAGAGTGTACATTTGTGGTCCTAACTTGCTATGTCACTTCTTCACATTCACTGTTATCACTATGGTTGAAGTTGCAAGTTTTTTGACCATCTTTTGGAGGCTTGGATTTTTCAAGAGACTGCTTGGCTGAAAAGAGGTCAGGGAACCAGGTTTTCTTCCCCCACACGTGACTCTGTTAATTCAGAAAAATTCTACTTGCATTTGCCACTTTTTGCCCATAATATTAATTCTCCAGAAGTTTATGTGGCCCTCCCATCAGGTTTCTTTTTAGTTACCCCCTTAGAGATGCCTATTTGGATCACTCAGTCTACAATATCATCACCAATTTTGCTCCCATCTCCATCTGATCTTTGTCTTCTCTCCTTAGTTTGCTAACCAGCTCTCAGTATCTGGAATTAGCACATCCGTAACATTGCCTTGTTTACCTTTTCCTGTTTGCCAAGTCTCCCGTTAGAGCCTAATTTCCAAGAGGGACAATAATTCTGCTTACATCAATAATATAGCCTCAGAGTTCAGAAAATCCTGGCCCAACAAAGGCACAAATAAATATTTGCTAATGAATTAAGTGAGTATATTGATATATATGTAAGACTGTATTTTTTCATTAAGTTTATTGGTACATTTTAGGTATACAGTACAGTTGCATTCATCATCCGGATCTTGTACCTTTACATGATGTATCTTGGTTCTTATTTTTTTCCCCGTACCTCTGCCCTCCCTTCAACCTCCTCCACCATTCTCCACTTACAAAGACTTTGTTTCCATTTTTCCCTATTCTCATATTTTTTTCTTTTCCATTTTTTCCTTTCCCTTACCCCTCCCACTTCCCCTACTCCTTTAGACCTTTAAGACTGTATTTTTGAAACATGTTCTGCTTCTATAAATATTTGAAATCTATCCTTGTTGCTGACTTACTTTACTGTTTTCAGTTTATAAACGGGGCTCCCTGACTTCAGATTCTCTGCCACTGCATGTGTTTTTCACATCTTCGGATTAGCCTGTACCTGTTGTGACTCACATCCCTTTTCAGTTTGGAAATTCCCCTCTACGCCAACTCGTTGCCTTACGATATTGTTTAGGACCTTTTGCCTGACATTTAATGCTCATTATAATTTTCTCAGGTGACTTCTAGGATTTCTTAACATTGTTTTTCTTAAATGGCAATTATTGTTTTCTTCTGTCTATCTTCATTTGTTTGTATTTGCTCAGCCTTCAATGACTCAATTGGAATCCAATGGAGATTACTCCACTCAGATTCTCCACAATGCTTTCCCTGATCTTATCAATGGAAAATAACCTTCCAAAGCAATTGATTTGCCTCATTCTTGTGGCATGTGTTACATTCTGATTTGTTTTTATAGTCCTTTGTCATATGTATGTTATTGTATTCACTAGTTCCTCAATACCTTAATGGGAACAGTATCTTAGCCGGTTAATGAAGTAGACAGTCACTGCACAATCACTGAAGGGGGAGGAGGTGGGAGAAGAGTTTACTTTTTGCTTCGTGAGTCTCTAGTAAAATCTGTTCTCCATTACCTGGGCTTGATTGCACTTATTCATGTCCCCATAAAAAGCAACTATTTGATAACAAGCAACCAAAATGTGACTCAAATTTAAGAGGTATACAGAAGAGAATAATTTAGGGCTAATTTCATTGTATTAGCTTTGAAATTGAGTCTGCCAGAAGTCAAGACATTAAAGATTGGACTGTGTGACTTCCAGTCAGATTGCCAGGTTCAGCCCCTGCAAAGTACAGCAAAGAAAAACATGATGTTTCTTTGAATAGAGAAAATAAATGGGGATTCTATTTGAGTTCTTCAAATGAAAGTAGAGACTTGAAGTTCGTATTGAAAGAGTGATTTTAAAATGCTGGATGTAAGTAAATCATGTATATAACTAAAAGTTTTTAACTTTTCAATTTTTCTGTTGAGACATAGTTGAATATGATAAATATGCATATTTAAAGCATACTATTTGATAAATTTTGAGGGATGTCTATTCTCATGAAACCACTCTCACAATTAAGATAATAAATATATTCATCACCCCAAGATTATAAGTAGTTTTAAATGCTTTCATTTTTTAGATTAATATATGGTAATACTGACTCTTTTGGCATGCGGTATTATAAATTTAAATGCATGTGTTGATTCATATAAACACCTCCGTGATCAGGATATATATCATTTCAGTCACCCGAGAAAAGCTCCCTCGTACTATTCCTCTATCCTCACATTCTCTTTCCCATCCCACGGCAACCAGCAATCCTATCATCATCTCTGTAGTTTAGTAGCTCCTAAAATGTCCTACAAATAGAATTGTCTAGTGTCTACCTGTTAGAGACAGGCTGGGGTTTCTTTCACTCAGCATAATGCATTTGGTATTCATCTTGGTTGTTGCACATTGTTACAATGCTATTTGTTTCATCCTTTCCTTCTTTTCCCTTCCTTCCCCTTTCCCTACTCAATAGGAAGTTCCCCAGCTTGCCCTTTCCCCTATAATGAAAGGGGATCTATATGCCACTATGCTAAACCTGTTTTCCATAATTCTTTTGAACTTTAGAAGTCTCTTGGCATGCTAGCGGGAGTCCTTGTTCCCGTCTTGATGTGTGGCATGCTATATTTTAAGTAGACGCATATGTCAGAGCAAGTGGTTCCATATCATCTGGAGCTGTGAGCATTTTTTTCTAATTAGTAGAACACAGGAGTGAATGTAACTGCAATTTTGTGCTGGTGGAGAGGGCAGGTCTCTGAATAAAATTAGAAAATTTGAAGAATTCTCCATTAGTAATGGAAAAAAACTATTAAGAACAATTATGATTTGATGTTGGAATTTTACCGTTCTTCAAGAATATAAATCTATAAATCTTGGCTCTACTATTGTATCATTTATTTATTCACTTAATGCAATAAATGTTTGAGCATCTAGTCTGTGCCAGGCACTGTCATAACTATATCTTTTCTATAATATTTTTATTATGTTAGCATCTTAATATATTATTGGAACTTTCTCAAAAAACAGGAGCCAATTTTACAGCTCGATCCAGGTCTTTTGCTGTCTTGCCTGAGACTGGAAGGGAGAGGTCAACCATCATCCTGGCTGCTTCCCTGTGCTCTGTGGTCTCCTGGCTGGCGCTGAGCTGTCTGGTGTGCTGCTGGTTTAACAGAAACAAACATAGAAGTATGTGAATTGGGTGGCAGGGTGGTTTGGAAATATCTGAAAATCATGTACAGTACATTAATGATTCCTTTTATCCTCTGGAGAGAAATTTTGTGAGCTCTTGCAATACATAAAATTACATAGCACTGTTAGCTCAACTACTCAGGAGGCAGGGGGCTCACAAGTTCAAGACCAGTCACAAGTTCAAGACTGTCTGAAAACAAAAATAGATAACTAAATAAATTTAAAAGATAGAATGTGGCTCAGTGGGAGAGCACTCTGTGTTCAATCTAGATAACTGCAATCAGCAAAACAAAATAAAAGCAGAAAAACATATATGGAGTCAAGTTTATGTAATAGACACAGAGTTGGCTAATTTTAAATAATATGAAAAGTTCATATTTATCAAAATAATCACCATGGACCAACCTTAATCCTCACAATAACTTAGCAAAGTATGTAGTAAATATGCCAAGAGTATGGACATAGAGAAAGAGATAGGCACATAAAGAATGAGAAAGTAGATTCATTCATGGTTAAATGGGTACATTTTGAGGTTATACTTCTAAGTGAAATAAATAAGGCACACATACGCAAATACTGAATAGTATCTCTGGTGTGCAAAACTATAATAGTACTCAAGATACTAATGGTACATTTAGCAAATAGTAAGAAAAGGACCAAAGGTGTAGGGACAGTGAGAAGGATAGGGAAGGGGGAATAAGGGAAAAGGAAAAAAATATGTAAAAATGGAATTAAAGTGTTTGAAGGGGGGAGGGGAGGGGAGGGTGAAGGGAGGGTGGGGAAAGGGGAAAAAATGAGAACCAAGACCTGGCATGTAAAGGTACAAGATCTCAGTAATGAATGTAACTGTACTGTATACCTAGAATGTACCAATAAATTCAATAAAAAAAAAAAAA